CAACTCCGGGCTCAGAGATGCCGCTCACGAGGCGGCTCGTTTCGCCTGAGGCATCCTTCCAACTCTGGGCTCAGACATGTCCGGTCCTGAACAGCTCGGACAACGGCATGTTGGGGTCACAGATACGACCAGACTACGCCGAATCTGTGACCCCCGACGCCCCGGCGACGTCGGAGGTCCTAGGGAGGACGGCGAGGGAGCACGGGGAGGGGGGCGGAGGCCCGGAGGCGTAGGGCGTGGGGTCTGGGAGTGTTCTCTGGAGCCTCTTGGAGGCCGTCTTTGGGCCTCTTGGGGTTATCTTGGGGCGTCTTGGGGCGCTCTTGGGCGCTCTTGGGCCCCTCCTGGGGCCCTTTTCGGCCCCCTTGTTTTTTTCTTTAGCGTCTATCGCTCGGTCGCGGGTGGCCTCTGGAGGCTTTTTGGGGCGGCTTGAGGGCATCTGGGGTTGTTTGGATGCCATCTTGGGCGGTTTGGAACCGTCTTTCGGCGAGGCGGGGTCCTCTTGGACTGTCTTGGGGGCTTCTTGAGAGGCCTCAGGGGGTGTCGTGGAGCTCTGGAGCGAGCCCAGGGAGGGCCAATCTCCCCCTGGTGAGTTTAGCGGGGGACGGGGGGGCCTTCAGCGGACGGGTCGGTGTGAAGCGTTGGTCCAGGGGGGAAGCCCTGGGGTCCAGTCCGTGGCCTGTTTCCCTCGGGATCCAAAAACCGGTGCGTTCGGGGATAACCGTTGGGATCTTGGGGGGGGGCTTCTCGCCGGCCTCTTGGAGGCTGTTTCGAAGGCTCTCGGGGGCCGATTGAGGGCCTCTTTTGGGCCTCTTTTTGTTCTCTTGGGGCCCTCTTGGGGAGGTCTTGGGGCCTCTGTGGGGCGTCCTGGGGCCCTCTTGGGGCGGAAGGCTGGATTTTTCCGTTCGTGGTCTTTCTCAGGAGCCCCTCTTGGGCCCGCCTCGGTAGCCTCTTGGGCTGCTTGAGCGGCTCTTGGGCCGTCTGGGGGCCCTCCTGCGCTGTCTGGGGGCTCTCTTGGGCCGTCTTGGAGGCGTCGTGGGGGGTCTCTTGGGCCGTCTTGGAGCGGTATTGGGAGTCTCTTGGGCGGTCGTGGAGCGTCGGCAAGCCGAAAAGGTGAAAATGCCAAAAACATTTAAAAAACAATGAAAATCAACGATTTTGGCTTCTTGGGGCCCTCTTTGGAGGCTTCTTGGAGGTCTCTTGGGGCGTCTTGGAGGTCTCTTGGGGCGTCTTGGAGGCCTCTCGGAGCCTCTTCGAGGCCTCTTGGGGCGTCTAGGCGGCCTCTTGGGGCATCTTGGAGGCCTCTTGGACCGTCTGGGAAGCTTCAAGGTGCCCTCTTGGCCCGTTTTGGAGCCCTCACTTTAAACGGAGAAGGTTAAAGGCGAGATATAAATCGAGCATGTACCGCTGCCGTGCCTGGCTCAAGCCGGGCCCGGCCAGATATGTGACTGT